CCGGTACAATGCAGGAAATTCACAAATACCTCCCCCTCCACACCCGCAGTGACCGCTGTTCCGCGCCCAGAAGACGGCGGAAAAAACCTCCCCGGCCAAACTGGCCTGGAGAAGAGAATGGCTTCCTGACCCCAGAGTGGCGATCGGCATTTCCCTGGGTATATAAGAAAGGGTCACGAGAACTAAGCACTGAGGCAACCCTTCCCGCTCTCCCTTTCACGATCTGCCTAAGTTCACAGAATCCACATGGCTGTCAGGTGGCCATCTAGCCTCTGTTTGAAAAAAAAAAAAACATTTATGTTGAGAGTTTATTCTGGGGTGTCAGACTAGGACAACTCTGATTCAAACTTCCAGTCAGTTCTGAAATTCGCTAGGTGACCTCGGGCCCAGCCACACACGCTCTCCCTCTCTCTTAGCCGTATCTACCTAGTATTAAAAAAAGAGGAGAAACTCCTCGGAGGAAGTCTGTGACGCAAGGATGTAGAGATGCTGAACAGAACTGAAAACTCCCGGCCATTTTGAGAGGTCTCCGTACTTCTCCCGCTCGCATTTGGATTTCACACGTTTCACCTCTGACCTGCTACTTTTCTGCGTTTCGTAGCCTTTGGACTCTGCCGTTTATATCTCCACTTTTCCGTCCTAACGTGGCCGCAAAGAACTTTAGCATAACTAGTGACCCGGTCTCCTTGTTCTGTGCCGATTCCTCCGAGAACTGTCACTCCCTTCAAGGGTTTCACGAACAACTGTTGGCCTTGAAAAAATTAGAGCAGGGGTCCCCAACGCGTTGCCCCTGAGCAGGGGTCATTTTGTAGAAAAAGAGGTGCAGGGGCTCATTAGTATAACTCATTAGCATAACTTATTTGCATATGCCACACCCCCTGACATCACCAGAGGTGTGTCGGAAGGCAACACCCACCACTCAGGCTCCACTGGACTGTTTTGGATTCCTAGCTATTTCGGGGGGTGGGGACGTGCAGATCTGCTCTCGCAGAGGAGGGAGAGCTTGTACCTGAATAAAACTTGGTCTTAAAGATACTCCTCGTGGCCCGACTGAGGGCTGCTGGGAGCAGGGGGCAGGGCTTGTTGCATGTCCCCGCCCCCTGGGCTCCTTACTGCCGGCGCTCCGCTCCTGTGCACTCCCGCAGGAAATGACCCCAGCCCACAAGTGTCATGGTTCCTACACCAAGAGTTTTAGAGTGGGCGGGGCTTTTGCCCACTAAGGCGTCTGATTGGCCACTGGAGATCTCATTGGCAGTGGCTGCCACAACAGCACAACAAGGGACTGCAGGTAAGCAAGGAGATATCTTTAAAACAGAATTTTATGTTCAAAGGTGTGACTAAGCAGAGCTTCTGTCCGATACGCTGAAGATTTATGATGACACTTATGCATGACCTTGCTCCCCGACGTGGTTGACTCAGCCATTTTGAGGTTGAAACACACACACACACACACCCATTCTGTGTCAGAATTCGAAAGTTACCTGCAGACTTGAAAAGGTTCTGGATGCCCGGAATAAAGATTAGTTCATAATGTCATGGCCCGGAAAACGAGCTCTGCACTCCTCTTTTCAGATTTTGTTAACATCCACTCTCCTGACCCAGATAGCCCAGACTGGCCCAATCTCATCAGACCTCGCAAGCGAAGCAGGGTTGGCTCTGGTTAGTATTTGGATGGGAGACCCCCAAGGAGTACCAGGGTTGCTACGCAGAGGAAGACAAGAGCCAACCACTTCAGTTTGCCTCTTGCCTTGAAAACCTACGGGGGTCGTCATCAGTCAGCTGCGACACACACCCCAACGACCCCAACAAATCGCTTTGGTGAGTTCGAAAGTCCGTTCAGCGGTTTTGTCTGTGCGGCAGCCTCGTTCGTCCATTGCCACGCACGAAAAAATAGCACCTTAAAAGACAACAACGTGTATTCTAGTGTGAGCTTTCGCAGGTCAGAGCTCCCTTCTTCAGATACAGCGGGGAAGAAAGAAAATCATGTTCTTCATTTTTACTTGCTGTCACGGCTCAGGTGGGGTGTCACCTGACGCTGCCACCACTCTGGTTCCAGGCTCCCTTGAGAAGGCCCAGAGCACCCTCCCAAGACCTTTAGACCTACCTTTTGGCCGAATAATAGGCATGAGGACCAGGCAGAGTGAACAATGAAAATAGTTTATTGTATAAGAGGTCAAACAAACAAGGTGCAGAAATATAACAGTAAGTGGGTGAAAAGAAAAGAAATCAAATGCCCTAACGTGTCTAAATATATACTGTCCCTAGCTCACTATTCCAAGTGACACTAGACTACTCACCCTTCCCTCAGGATGAGGGTCTCTTCCCCACAGCAGCCTCAGTCCCTTCTGGCTCCTGGGAAGAAGAACAGATTTTCCTGCTGCACCAGATCTTTTATTCCAAGCCCTCCTCTTTTCCAATTGGTCAATTTTGACTCCAAAACGTCTTAGGGGCTTCTGGGAGTTGTAGGCCCAGCCTCTCCTACTGCTAGCCAGGCTCCCTGGGCCTAGTAGGCCTCTGGTGGCACAGCCCAGATCATGACACTTGGCTATCCAAGTGGTTCAAGTCCCCTCATACAGAATCTTATGAGATTTATTATACTATTATTTGTTGTTGTTCAGTCGCACAGTGGAGTCCGACTCTTCGCGACCCCATGGACCAGATCACGCCAGGCCTTCCAGTCTTCCGCCATCCTCTGAAGTTGGCTCAACTTCATGCTCGTTGCATCGATGACACTGTCTAACCATCTCATCCTTTGCCGTCCCCGTCTTCTTTGACCTTCCATCTTTCCCAGCATCAGGGTCTTCTCCAGTGAGTGCTCCCTTCTCATTGGGTGGCCATAGTATTTGAGCTTCATTTTCATTATCTGGCCTTCCAGGGAACAGTCAGGGTTGATTTCTTTTAGGATTGACTGGTTTGATCTTCTTGCAGTCCAAGGGACTATACTATTATTATAGTGTAATAGTTATTATGAGATTTATTATACTGAGCCCGTTCACGGGGAGGGCGGGGTAAAAATGCAATCAATCAATAAACAAACTATACCCATGCTCCACTCCTCCCCCTGCAATATTCTGTAAACGAGGCAAATTATTTCTCCCCCCCCCCCGCATTGTATCTAAAAAAGTGAGCCCTGTCTCACAAAAGCTCATGCTGCAATCAGTGTTAGAACAGAGTTCGAGTCCAGTTTTTTTTTCAGGGCACAAGCTCCCGTTGAATAAAACTTTGCTGGTTGTAAAGGTGCCACTGGACTCAAACTTTATTCTGCCGCTTCAGACCAACGCGCGGTGACCCACCTGGATCGATCTGCAATAACTGTGAGTCTTTAAGGTGCCGCTGGACTTCTGACATGCTTTGTGTCTGCTGTCCCCCCTTTTCGCCACTAGATGGCAGCACGCAACAGGACTCTGCCTCGAAAGTGCCTCCAGGCGCAGCGGATTAAGGACAAGAGACTTCCTCCTTTGGATCTCCCACCCAGTGTTCCTGCTAAGCTGAGTTAGTGTGAGCTAGCTCACAGTTTTTCAGCTTCCAGCTCACACATTTTTGTCGTAGCTCAGGGAAGATGGCTCCAGAGCAAACTAATTGATGCAGCAGCCAAATTGCTCGCTCACAACTTTAATGCCGGTAGCTCACAAAGTAGAATTTTTGCTCACAGGACTCCACAGCTTAGAGGGAACATCCAAACACAAACCAGGGCCAGACCTGTTTAGCTTACAAGGGTGGGCTACCCTGCGCCATCCAGTGTGAGAAGAGGATTGGATTCATACCCCGCCCTTCACTACCCGAAGGTGTCTCAGAGCGGCTTACAAACTACTTTCCCTTCCCCTCCCCACAACAGACACCCTGTGAGGTAGAAGAAGAAGAAGAAGAAGAAGAAGAAGAGATTGGATTTATACCCCGCCCTTCACAACCCAAAGGTGTCTCAGAGCAGTTTACAATCTCCTTTCCCCTCCCCTCTCCACAACAGACACCCCTGTGAGGAAGGTGGAGCTGAAAGAGCTCTTGACAGAAACTGCTCTTTTTCAAGGACAGCTCTTATCAGAACTACGGCTTGCCCAAGGTCACATCAGCAGGTGCAAGTGGAGGAGTGGGGAATCAAACCCGGTTCTCCCAGATTAGAGTCCGCAGACCTAACCACTACACCAAACTGGCTCTCACTACACCAAACTTTCCCAACCACTACACGAAAAGAGGGTTATTGCTCTGAGTACAATCCCAGAAGGAGAACGAGGAGAAAGAGGAGACTGGATTCATACCCCGCCCTTCACTCGGAGTCTCGTAGTGGCTTACCAACTCCTTCCCCTCCCCACAGCAGACACCCTGTGAGGTAGGTGGGGCTGAGAGAGCTCTTGACAGAAACGGCTCTTTTTCAAGGACAGCTCTTGTCAGAACTACGGCTTGCCCAAGGTCATCCAGCCAGGTGCAAGTAGAGGAGTGGGGGAATCAAACCCGGTTCTCCCAGATTAGAGTCCGCGCACTTAACCACGACACCAAACTGGCTCTCTATTGAGGCCAGTTCCCCTGGAGAAAAATGCTGCTTTGGGCGGGGTGGTGGTGGACTCTGGGGCATTGCACCCTGCGGAGACCCCTCCCCTTTCCAAACCCCGCCCTCCCTTGGCTCCACCCCCAAAAGCTCCAGGTATTTCCCCACCCAGAGCTGGCAACCCAAGACCCAACGGGTTTTCCGTTATTTTTTTGGTCTCCCCTCTGCGCTTCTTCCTGGCGGCGGACGAAATGGAGGGAGACTGCCGCGGCTTCTCCCTTAGGGT